CTGGGTGTGTGTGGGGGTTTCCATCTCTGATTTCCATGATTCAGCTTGGGGAGTTTCCAGAGGGAAAAAAAAAGCCCTACTCAGGCCTAAGGAGACACACACGGGGACACCAGTCTTGGAGGCCAGGAGAAATGCAGGCCTTACTGGAGAAACCAGGGCACACAGCCAACTATGGATGGACACACACATACAAGGACACACTGACCACTGTTAGCACCCAGCAGATGGTCTGGAGTGGGCCACACCCTCAATGCCACTAGGGTCTCCCTAAGACTAACACCCCAAGACCAACTGCCAAGGACAGAATGGTGGTGGAGGCTACAGTCCTATTTCCTTGACTCCACACTCCCTGGCCTTTTATGCCCCGTTTCTCAGGCAGGCTCAACCCCCTTCCCTAAGGACTGAAACATGCTGCTGAGAAAACCCAGGAGTATATGGGGTTCTGCCTGCCCTTACAGAGCTCCCAAAAGGAGTTGAAGGAGGAGATCAACCCATTTCATGGACAAAAACGCTGAGGCCCCAGGCAGGAGGTATGCCCTAACATGGGGCTCTAGGGAATGAGGTAAGGATCCTGGACACCTCTGATAAAGACAAGGCCTTCCTCAACAGGCACCTCCTTTGGGCCATGTTCCTTCTTTAGAAAGGTCATAGGAGCCAAAGGACTCTCCTTACTGTGTGACCATGGCATATGGCCTCTGAGCTAGTTTCCCCATCTGTAACATGGCACCATGAGGATAACAGCTAACACATATGTACCTTTCTATGTGCTAGACAGTGGACATGCCTTGTTTCATAGAATCCTCATACCCACTTTCTGAAGGAAGTACTATGATTGCCCCATTTAGAACAGACAGTTTGATAAGCAATTGTGAGAAAATTTGCCTCTTTGTTTGAGAGCTCCTGGATCATAGACTAAGGTTTCCCAAAGTGGAGATTGTCTGAGCTGACACTAGCCTGGGATCAGAGCCCACACTTTCTTAGGACCTCCCTCCCGGTGGACCTCACCACAGGACAAGCCAGGAAAAGCCAACTCAGAGATATTTGGTCCCCACTGGGAGAGGGCATGGAGTTGGCAGGTCCAGGTTTGCGGCTCCATCTTGTCCCTTCTTGCTGACTTTGACACCTTCCCCTGCACTCAGCCTCAGCTTGCATCTGTAAAATAGAGATCAATGGTTCTTGCTCCTCACCCCAAGCTGCTGAACCCATGAGCCCAGAAGGGCCTGTGGGGAAAGAGGTGGAGAGATACAGAAAAAAAGACTCCAGGTAGCAACCCGCCCTCCAAAAAGGAAGGCTCCAGGGGCCTAAACTGGCTCCTGATGAGATTTTTCAGATGGGGAAACTGAGGCTTGGAGAAAAGGGTTCTGAGCAGGCCATAGGGTTGGGACCGAGCTCCAGAGGATGTGAGGCTGATTGGAGTGAGGAGCATCCAGCCCCCTCCCTCTCCTATCTCCCCAGAGGAAATGATAATAGCAGACCTTAATAATGAGCACTTACTCTCTGCTATGTATTGTGCTAGGCATTTCACATGCATTTTCTCACTGAAATCTCTAACTCTTTAACTACTATTAACCCCATTTACAGATGAGACTCACCTGCCTAAGGTCACTAGGTCAGTCAGCAGAAGAGTCAGGATTTGAAACCAGATCTCTGCAACTCCAGGGCCTGGCTCTCCAGCACTGCCCAAAAGCTCTGAGGCACATTTTGGCTACAGGGTGAGGTCCAGGACCACCCTCAGCCTAGGGGAACCCTCTTGGTTTCTCATCGGTCCTGGGGGGGAGGGGGGTAGTTCTCAGGCTCTGAGCAAAACACTTTGGGACACTGTCACAGAGAAGTCTGCAGCTGTACCCTAAGGCCCAGGAAGACAGGGGAAGGGGCTGCGGGTGGGCCGGACGGGCCAGGCTGGGCCAGAGCTCCGGGCATTCCGGCGGCCTCCGCAGGAAGCAGAATGGGACGGAAACCGGCTCCTGCCTCCTCCCCCAGAATCCTGTGGGCAGCCTAGCCGGCCTGCACAGAGGCCCTCTTTGTGCCTGCCCCAACCCGCCACCCGCGGCTGGCCCAGGGTTTTGAGTTTCCTGGGGGGTGGGGGCCCCACCACTGCTAAACCTCCAGCTACCTCCCCCTCTCAGGGGCGGTCACAGCAGTCCGCAGCTGGAGGAGGAAGTGAGTGATGACCAGGGCTACCCCAGAGACCCCGGGGCCTGATGTGTGTCCACATCTCATTCCCCCAACACACCCTAATCAGGGCTGGAGGTGGGCAAAGGGACCCAGAGACAGAGCCTGAGAGGCCACCCCCCTGAGCCTGCCCTCCCTGCCAGCTGTCACCAAGCCCATCCTGACCCATCCAGGACTCTCCCATCCCACTCCATCTCAGTGCACTTGTGCCCAGGCTGGTGGACATCCATGGAGGCTGGCCAGGTGGGTAGGGTGACCCATCTGTCAATCACCATTTCCTATTTTCCAGGAACTCCCTGGACACACAACATGCATCCAAGGGAAGGCCTAAAGCTCACTTCAGCATTTCAGGGGTCCAAAGCTCCTTGGGTGTTGCAACTGCTCAAGAACACCAGACTCCAGGGAGCACATTCGAGTTGGAGTGTATATGGTGAGGAGCAGCACTAGGGCCAAGTATATCTGCATGTATCCACCTGGGAGGTGTGTCAGAAACCTGTGCACATTGCATGCATGAGAATGTGTGTCTGGGGCTGTGCCCAGGTGTGTGTGTACACTCTGTTATTACATTACTCTGTGGTTCTGAGTACTGATATACAAGTGGGGCTTAGATACCAGTGGAGGTGGAGGTCTCTGTGTGACCTCCTGTGTGTAGGAGTGGAGTGTGGCTATCTGCATCTGTGGATGTATATGTATGACTGAGTGTGCATGTGTCCAAGTAGAGTGGTTTATATGGTGGCTGGATATCTGTGGGTTCTCCTGGCCTGTCAAGTGTGTGTGTGTGTGTGTGTGTGTGTGTGTGTGTGTGCACGTGCATGCGCGTACGCATGTAAGCACAGGTGTGCATGCACTCACTGTGAGTTCTATCAGGACCTCTGAGGGGTTCTGAGATACAGGTCTGGGACTCAACGGGCATGGGGATGGCACAGACAGGAACTCACGCCAGGTGAGGGGCCCCTATGGAAACAGGAAGCTGCCCACAGGAACACCTGGGCTGTGGTGGAGGTTGGGCTCCACCCAGGTTCAGTCTGTACCCCTGAGAAATCAACCCAAGGCTCCACTAGCCAAAAAGCTGTCCCAGCTTCGAGGGAGGCACCTGCCTCGTCTGCCGTTCAAGACCCAACAGCTCTGGCCAGCATCTAAACCTGTGTGCCTGGCCTGAGCGTGGAGAAAACTGGAAAACAAAAGCCCCCAGACCGCAGGCCCTCCCTGCAGAGGCGTGGGGGAGGCAGGCAAGAGGCGGGAGGCTCAGGAGGAGGGAGGGAGGTGTCGCCGCAGCCCCGGAACACAAAAATAATGAGGCGAGAGGGGCCGTGGGGCCGAGCCGGCTGGTTCCGGAGTCGCTATCTGACCTTGACAGATGCCACAGCTGGGCGCCTGGAGAGGAGCCGCCGCCACAGTGCTGCAGAACAGCCCCCCCGCAACCCTCCACCTCCCCCAGACCGGGTCGATGGAGGTTCAGGCAGGCCCCAGCCACAGGCAGCCACCCCACCAGGTGGGAGCTGGGGGACCTCAGAGTGTAACCCAGTCAGGCAGGGGGTAGGGGAAGGAGATGGAGGCAAAGAGAGTGAGTGGGGGCAGGACCACTGCAGGGCATGGGAGGAAGCAGTGGGGTCTCCGGAGGGCACCCTGGCCCTCAGGTGTGGCTGTGTGTGTAGGAGGAAACGAACAGCGTACTATTGTGCTTGTGTAGCTATGAGGCTGAGAGTGTGTGGTTAAGAGAAGCAAGTTGTGAGTGTGGGTATGACAAAGATCATGTGTGTGTGTGTGTGTGTGTGTGTGTGTGTGTGTCCTTGAGGTCACCAATTACTCCCCTGTCCTCTTCCAGAGCCACACCTGTCCTGGCAGGAGCCAGTCATGCTGGGGTCAGGGGTGGCGGGGTGCAAAGAGAGCCAAAAGCACCCTGATCCCCGGCTACCACCAAGTTCTGTCACTAGCAGACAGAGGAGAGGTGGCCCTGTGGTCGTCCTGGCCTCCCCTTTCTCACCCACAGGGGTGCTCTGGGCACAGAGATGGGCGTGGGGCTGGACGCCACCACTCTGGGGACAGCAGTGAGGGGCTGGGGTACAAGCTGCAGGAGGGGATGTTGGGCTGGAGGCGGATTAGCAATTCCGAGCACTGGCTACATAATTAAAAAATCATTACGGCAGGCGGGCGGGCAGAGCCATGTGAGCTCACGCTCAGAGCGGGTGGGGACACGGCCATAGCACTCCCCCTCCCACTGCTTCCCGGAGGAAAAATCCCACCTGCTAATATAATTATGGAAAAACACAAGCACAGAAATTCAGTTTCAGCAAACAACGTGCCTGAGTGCCCAGGGCCTGCCTGGCCCTCAGCACAGTGGGCAGGCTGGTCACCGGTGCCCAAGGCTTCCAGCGGTAAGCTGGGTCCAGACCCCCACCTCCTCTACCTCAGCAGCCCCCAAGAGCAGGGGTGGAGGTGTGTGGGGAACATGTAAAGCCCAGCTCCTCAAATTCCAAATCCAACAGAAAACTGGCCTGTGCTGATAGTTGACAAATGGGGAAACTGAGGCTAAGGAATCCGTGTAAGATTATGGTTTTTGTGGCAAAGCTACTGCACCAATGGGCCACCCCAGGAACTCAATCCCCTCCCCTTCCCTGTAACCCTCCAGCTTCCCTGTCTCATGGGTCATCCCCCAGCAGGCAGCGGGGGAGGAGCAGCTCTCTCCCTGAGTTGGAACTGCACTGTTCTAGTCAGGTACTCCAGCACCGCCCAGCCCCTAACCACGCCGGAATCCCAGGGTGAGGGGGCGCCGGGAACCCGAGGCTCCCAGTTCAGGGACAGGGCGTCCTGGGCTCGGCTGGGTTAAGCTAGGCCAGCAGGGCTGGCTCCCGCCCCGAGAACGGCGGCCAGCTCTGGGGCACAGGCCCCAGAACGGCAGGAACAGCCGCCATCACCTCGGGCCTGGAGCGGGAGGCGGCGGCGCGGGGAGGGCAGCCGGGCCTAATTAGTCTGCCTGGGACCCGGGCGGGCGCCGGGGCGGCAGACGCGGCCGCCGGAGCCGCGCAGGCACGTCCGCGCCCGGCCAGGAGGCGGCGACGAGCCGGGAGGCCGCGCGCCCTGGGACGCGGTGGGACGGGCGGGCGGCCTGGGAAGGCCCGGGCTGGGGAGATGCCGGCCCCGAACGGGCCTGCCTTCCCTCATTCCTCGGTGCCACCAGGCGCAGCAATTAGAGGCTTTCAAAGTTTGTCCTTAATTGGTTTCATTTTTGCCTCATAAATGATTCATGGCCCTGGAGGTCTGGGTGGGGGAGGGAGTGGCAGGGGGAATTTGGGAGCCAGGCCCCCTACCTGAGGCTGGAGAGGGGCCTGCAAACTTTGCCCAGTTGAAGACAGGGCCTGGGGAAGCCTCGGGCAGGTGGGATCCTCCAGCAAAAGTAAAAAACCCCAGCCCTCTCCTCAGGGCACTGACTAATTAGCAACCGTGACTTCTCTGCAGACCAGAGCTCTGCAGTCAGGCTCAGAGCCACCGCAGCTGCTGGGGCCCTGGGAGGGTGAATAGTAATATAATGATAACAAAATAACAGTGTCAATAGTAATAATAAAGATGGTGAACACTTAAAGTTCTCACTTAAGTTTCAGACATGCAGTTAAGAACATCTCTTTTAACCACCCACCCTAAATCCCCAAGCACTATCAGGAAGAGGTCCCAGAATCTCCATTTTGCAGTTAAAGAAACTGAGACTTGGAGAGCTTAAGGTCTCTCCTCTGCCCCTCCGATGCCAAAACTCCTCACTCCCCACGGTCTCAGCAGCTTGGGGCTTAGGGCTGGACACCTGGAACACTGCCAGTAAGTTAGGAGCTGCAGAAGAGCCCAGAAAGGTCCAGTGATGCCATATCCACCTGGGCCAGGTTAGCTCTGCCCCTCACAAGGCTGTGTGACCTTGACTGAGCAATTTCCTCACACCGCCTTAACTGGTCCATCTGTCAAATAGGAAGGCAGCGGCCCTATGACCCCCACCCAGCGCTAACTTGTGCTGGGCGTGGGATCAGAGATGTCATGGATCCCATGCTCAGGGAGCTCCCAGTCTAAGAGAACATGGATGTACACACAGAGAGAAGGGCTTAGTAGAGTTTGCAGAGAACTCTGAGCGCTCAGTGAGTCACCTGCTGAGGGCTTCTTGGAGGTGAGGTGGGCAGAGGAAGCATCTCCCTTTTTTAAGCATGTTCCCCAGTGGCTCAGATGGTAAAGAATCCGCCATCAATGTAGACCAGGGTTCGATCCCTGGGTCAGGAAGATCCTCTGGAGAAGAAAATGGCAATCCACTCCAGTATTCTAGCCTGGACAATTCCATGGACAGAGAAGCCCTGGCGGGCTATAGTCCATGGGGTCGCTAAGAGTCGGCCACAACTGAGCTACTAACACAATCCACAGAATGCTCAGGGACCCTTGGCTAGAGGTCAGTCCTTGAAGAAATCCACAACTACAGACTACATCAGAAGGATATTCAATACAAAATGCCCAGCTCGGTCTGTCCATGACAGTCACTTTTATTCTGAACTATGAGAGGTGAGGTCTACACAATTATCTGCAAGGCCCACTTGGTCCCTGGGGACATCCCAGAGGTAAGGAAGTGCACTCAACAATTTCAGGAGCAGATGCTATAAGGGGCTTCCCTGGTGGCTCAGTGGGTCAAGAATCCACCTTTGATGCATTAGACGTAGGAGACATGGGTTCAATCCATGGGTCGGTAAGATCCCTTGGAGGAGGGCCTGGCAACCTACCACCCCAGGAGAATCTCATGGACAGAAGAGCCTGGGAGGCTACAGTCCGTAGGGTCGCAGAGAGTTGGACACTGAAGTGACAGTAAATGCTGTATGGACTGACTCCCCCTAGAGGCCCCAGGGCTCTGGGCCACTAGCTGGTGCCTCTTGGGTACCTCATAGATACCACCTCCTTGTGTGTCCTCCAGCTCCTGTCTCAACCACTTGTACCAGATTTCCCTCCACAAACGGCCTTCTCAGGCCCTGGTGCCCGCTCAATTCCATTGGCTCCCTGCTCTCCCACCCAGCCGGCCTCCACCAGGCAGCAAAACAGAGGCTTCCAAGTGATTATACCTCCCACTGTCTCCTTCCTCCCTGTGCCTCCCCACGGCCCTCTGAGTGGCATACGTGATTGTCCCTGTGTCCGAGTGAGGAAAATGAGGCTCTGAGCAGAATCTAAGAGACGTACCTAAGGCCACACAGCTTAAGGAGACCCAGGCCCAAATCTCTTGAAAGCCCATGTTGCTCACCTTGCTGGCCTCCTACAGGTCACATTCCTGTCCTGAACCAGGACTGGCCACTTCTTGCCCCAGCCCCGACCCATCTTCTGTCTAGACAAAAACTGTACTGAATCCGCACTCCTCCAGACACAAGATCTTGGTCAGACCGTTGTGGTCAGGGGCCCTGCAGGGTGCCCAGGAGGTAGCAGGGGTCCCTACATACTCCGAGAGCCCTAGGGTATGGGGCCTCCTGCCTCAGCCCAGCTGGGTCATCCCAAAGATTGGGTGGGAAAAGTCCCAAGATACAAACACAGAATACCACAAATGTCTGGAGAGGGGTATGGAGGAGGCACAATGATGTTACAGTGGAGGGGGCTGGCCATGTTCTTTGGCCCTCTCTTGGGTACAGTCAACTTTAAGGCTCCTATCACACATTAGGGAGAGGGCTGCCTGTGGAAGAAGGGAAGAAGCCTAACCTTTATACATCCGCTACTCCATTCTGCTGGAGAATATAGCTGAATGGCTTGGGCAAGTCATACCCTCTGAATCTTCAGTTGTTTCAGCTGTACGGTGCATTCAAACTCTATGGAAAAGCTTTGGGAACAGGTTTAGAGGTTTTCCTTGAGAAAAGGGATTCAGAAGAACTGGACGAAACACTCAGTGGTCTATGTTGGCTGGGGGCACTTGTATAGTAGAAGCTTGACAACTGCTTGGTGAATATTCAAACAAGTGGCTGAGTTCTCAGATTTCAGAGTGCCTCTTAGCAGATTCAGGTGACACCCACCTCCCAGGTGTCCCCCCTGAGCCAGGACACAGGTCTGCCCAGCCAGGTCACTGGGGTCCCTCTTCCCGGCCTGCCCATTTCAGGCGGGTCAGCACTAACGTCAGCAGGACCGGCTGGGCGTGGAGCCCGCCACCTCCGGAACCGCCAATTAATTAACTTTTTCAAATTAATTTCCCAAGCAAAATTCCATAATTACATCTGTCTCCATCAGCCTGAGCTGGGCAGGCAAGACGACCCCGCAATGAGATGGAATGTGACCATACCAGGGGGTGACCATACTGGCCCCAGGAAGAGGTCAGAGACACTGGAGGTTGGGTTTAACCATGGCAGGGTGATGGTCTGGGATCCTTATGGATGCTGAATGGAAGGAGAGGGGGCCAAGAAACCAGAGCCCCCCACCCCCACAAGCCAGGCAGTGGAGGGCTCAGGGACACCCATGCCTACCCAGCTCATCCTGCTGCCCCCACTCCCCACCCTGTGCCCCCAAACCACAATGGGTCTTGGCAGGGCCCAGTAGCAGCACAGGCACCGCGAGGCTGAGGAGGCCACGACTGCGGCGTTCTAATTTCCCAAAGGGGCTGAGATTAATTAGCTCACACACAGGCGCAGAGAGGGAGAGGAGAGTGGGAGCAGGGGCGGGTAGCGTCAGGCGAGGAGCTGGCTGGCACTCCCCCCACCCGCCCGGCAGGCAGTCAGGAGGCCTTGACAGCCTGGGTGCTCTGAAGGTCAGTGGCCAAGCCGGCTGAGCCAGCAGACTGGCATTGTCGCCTTCCCAGAAGCCCGGAGACCAAGACTGGGAGGGGCAGCAACCAGGAGGACAGCTGCGGAGGTGGGGGCGGGGCCACCACTGATGGAGTCCGTGCCAGGTGCTCTGTCCACACCCTCCTCTTTTACTCTCCCAGCAGCCCAAAGAGGTAGGCACCATGGCGTTCCCACTTCACAGATGAGAACACTGAGGCTCAGAACTGAGTTAAAATTCACTCAACTTGTGGATGGTAGAAGTGGCCCATCTCTAGAGCCCACCTTGCTCCCTCCTGAATTCCGTGCTGACACAAGGTCTGCAGGAGCCCTGGGCCTGGGGGACCGGGAGACCAGCTGCAGAGTGTGGCTGTCTGACTGTGGCTTACCTCTGTCTCAGAGCATGTGCTTGGCAGACTCTCAGTCATTTCAGAGATGCAGAAACTGAGAGCAGAAAGGGGAAGTGACTTGCCAGAAGGCACAGGGCCCCAAACCCAGACTTTCTGCCCCTCCATTTCAGGCCAGCACCAACTTCTAGCAAAACAAACCCAACTCGGTGACCTTCAGTGAGACCTGCCCCAGGGCCATGCTGTGCCTGGTGCTCTCTTTAGCTAACCAGTACACTGATCGGGGTGGGGTGGTCACTGTCACCCCTGTGTACAGAAGAGGAGGATACCTCCAGCTCAAGGGCACTTTCTTAACTTCTCCCTGCCGGGCTCCCCAGAGAGGAGAAAGGCGTCCCCAGGGAGGTGGGAGGGTAGGGATGGGAGAGGTGTATGATGCTGATCAGGCCCCTAAGCAGCTCTCACGAGCCTAGCAACTGACCTTCCCAGAACTTGTCTGCAAGAAGATCCCAGCAACCCTAGGGAGACTCAATCTGCTCCCTGGGCCACGCCTTGACTCCTACCCGACACCCAGTGAATTTTGTCTCCACAGAAGCCAAGGGCAACGGGGCTTACCCTCCCTGGGCTTACGGGATCAGCAGTCCCAAGGTTCTCGGGTCCAAGATAACAGACGGCCCTAGAAGAGTCATGGGGCAGTGCCTAGGTGGGGAGGGGGCTGGCCCAACTAGGAATATTCTTCATTTGTGAATTATGGGAGATGGGTAGGAGCCCCCCTGAGGCACAGGTCTACATGGGGTTTGGAGCCAGGGTTCCCCTCCCACTCTGCAGCTTCAAGCTAGGAGACCTCAGACAAATGGCTTGACCTTGCTGAGTCCACTCCCTGATCTGTGAAATGCCCACCATGACAGCCCCACCCCCACCAGCGACCTAGACAGGATGAATGTAAGGTTCTCAGTGCGGAGCCAACAGGCATAGGTGCTCAATAAATGAG